ACCAGTGCGTGCGTTGGTGTCCATTAGCACCACGAGATGGTCACGGCTGTGAACCTCCCGGATCGCTGCGTCGAGAGCAGTCCAGAAGGAGTCCTTGGCGTTAACATCACCGCCCGCGGTGGTGCGGACAGTTTCCGTGGGGGCGTACCCCACCACGAAAGTTACTCCGCAGGTGCGGCCAATTTGTAGACGCACCTTCATCAGCCTCGGGCTAATGCACTCCACCGTCCTACCTTCCTCGCCCACACTCTCCCACATGGCCTCCTTGATCGCTATGCCCACCCCGTGTACCCCCCTCTTGTCCTTGGTGCCAGCGCGGGCGCCACTCCAGATGATCACGTGCCCGTCGTGTGCAATTGAACCTTGCCCCTCTCGTCGGGTCTCCTGAAGTCCTATCACATCACAGCCGGTCGCGGAACAAGTCTGCATGACCGTGGGTTTTGCTTGTGTTGAACCCCATCATGGATGGCCGGACATAAACAATCAATGTTACTTTGTTTCTCCAGTCCGCAGCCTGCACACAAAGGAAGGTTGCGATCGCCGAAGGCCTCGTGGCCACAAGAACGATCAAGAGTCAATGCACACATGACTCTTGCCACTTCATGCCACTATGTCGCGACCACTACTGTAATGTGTATTCCAACATATCATTTCACAGAATAGGGGGAGTATCGATCTTGCTCTCGTTTTGGTCACCTGATTTCTGATTATCTGGGAGAGTAGTGTGAGCGAATATTTCGAAAACATGGACGTGTCCCATGCTTGTCGCACTCACAGCGGGGGCATCGATTATCCTTTCCTTCCACGAAGCAGCAACTTTAAATTTCACAAGAAGGCGAGAACGCAAAGTTCAAGTGGCCATGTGTCGGACTTTTTTTGCGCGCGCAAGGAGCGCCGACTCTTCTCTCCACGAAGCAGCCCGTTTCCGAGGCGGGGAAAGAAAGTACAGCAGTAGGGTACATAGACAAGTCATCATGGTGTGTGGGAGGACTTGCCGTGCGGGCGAGGGGCCCCAATCCTTCGTTCGTTCTTGAAAAAAGCACATCTACAATGAATGAGGGTTTGTTGTGGAAGAAACAAGAAACTATACACAATCTCGGAAAGGAGCGAGCGGCTCGGGTAGCTACTCACAGAGAGACCACGGTAGGACACGCAGCCGACGATTCGCTCGCGCAAGGCGCACTGGTGTTGCTCTTGGAATCACATCATCTTTCGTTTGATCGAGAGATGATTGGCGGCCGGTGCAATTAGACTGTGGAGATACCTATGGCCCGATTTTGTTTGTTGCCATCTGCGGCGAACGGGCATATTACATGTTTTCCCGTTCTCTCATGATTTTACGGTGACTGCCCGTACACAGACAAGTGATCGACGCGAGAACCAACCTGCACCTTGGCACATCGCCGGTTCCTGACAATGGGTGCTTCGAAAGGTGAGAGGTGTGAGGAAATTGGGGCAACACGAAGGAGCACAGGACCATCTGCTTGTGTAGGAGAGTTGCCTCAGCGCGAGTAAAACAATTGTGTTTGATGAACGTAGCAGCTACAGCTCACGGAAAGACGAGGAATGGTGTGTGACGAATTAAAACCTTGATTTCTTGCCGATATTCACCCAACAGGGACCTTCGCCAATTTTTTACATATCAACATGACGTTTGATACTAAGGAGTAGATTCTTGCAACATTTCGAATGGTGAAACCGACTCTTTCGAGCAGCTGTAGTGCACGGCGGTGACTATGTTGCGGGAGCGGCGAGATCCGTTCCGTCCATCGAAGTGACACATCGATCACTGCGCCATGCGTTAGACAGTGGCACTCGACCCTAGCGACACCGTATTGGCACTCGAAGCGTTGGTAAATGGGAGTTCTACAGTACAGGTGTATTGAACTAAACTCGAAAGTGCGATGCGTCGCGCAGGTAAATGAGTCCGTGGACATGCATTTAAGAAGAACATCCAACCAAAGCCATCATTGCAATTGACAATCACCCGAATCTATCCAGATCATCTGTGTTAGGCACAGCAGTGTAAACATCGACACTGACTAGGAATCGTTCCACATTGAAGGGGTCTTCTACGATGCAGGTACACAAATAAGGAACCCGGGTTTTCCGCGCCATCTCTGCCGCGTCTCTCTACAAAACCAGTGACGTCGCCACACACACCCAACACCTGTATTCAGGGAAAAAACGGGAAAATAATTGACGACACAAGAGATGTTTTGTCCGTGCGCCACGGTTCGATGCCTTAGCGGTGCCGCTGCTCCGGTGCCGCTGTGGCCAATCCTAGCACGACCAAACTCGACCCGCTCCGCTTCGTACACGCTCTCGTTGCTGTCCTTCCCAGTCGGTTCCTCGCTTTCTCCCTCGTTGCACTTAGGGTTCTTGGTCTAAAAATTCTCGCGCCGAAGGGTCAACCAGCCCAATCAGCTCGTCACCACCTGTCCCCTCCTCCTTTGATGGCAAAACCAGGTTACTGAGACAGTACAGCTCCCTCTAGCAAACCTAGGGCCGTGTACATAGTGCCCGTCCACCTTTCTGATGACGTCTGCCTCCGCGCACAAAGATGAGATGGGCATTGCTGCCTACACCGACGGCCTGGAGGCCCGCGCATCTGCACCTTTGTACCTGACGCACCAGTGCCGACCCAACTCCACCACTACGCACGCCTCGCGGCGGGTGCGCCGCTTCAAGAAGGTATCGGTCCCTTGAGGGTGAGTCGAGCCCTGCTCGCTAGAAANCCTGCCTCCGCGCACAAAGATGAGATGGGCATTGCTGCCTACACCAACAGCCTGGAGGCCCGCGCATCTGCACCTTCGTACCTGACGCACCAGTGCCGACCCAACTCCACCACTACCCACGCCTCGCGGCGGGTGCGCCGCTTCAAGAAGGTATCGGTCCCTTGAGGGTGAGTCGAGCCCTGCTCGCTAGAAAGATCCCCTCCCTCGTTATGGGTCATGCCTACGCAAAACCTTCCCGAGGCAGCGAGGGCAAGAAGGGGAAGTTTCAAACACGTAAAAAACACTATTATTGACCCTTGAACGCTTTTTTTGGTTGACTTTTATACGGAAAGTTCCAATTTTTGGCTCCGCGGGCCCTTCCGGCAAGGGCCCTGCGCGGGCGGCGATCTCCGGGCGGCCTCCGGGGGCCCTTCCGGGGGGGCTCTGTGGGGCGTCGCATCTCGCCTTCGGCTCGGGTCCGCGCAAGCGCAGGCCTAACCTACGATTTTATTACTCGCTGCTGCTGATTCTCCTGTTGCTGCTGTATTTTCTTGTTTTTGGTGGCGAAGAAAATAACACACCAAAGCCTTCATGCAGCATTAAACCGACAGCTCGGCGTGGGGAACATTGGGGGTTGTGGCAGTACAGAAGTCAGCAGCAGTGCTGGGGCGCGGGAGATGCCGCGAAAATAGCCACTCCGTCCCTACCACAGAATTTTACGTTGACATGCGCTAGGTAAGAGGTGGGAGCATGGCAGCAGCAGCAGCAGTGGGACGTTTCTTTGGACACGCTCCCCCAGCTTCTAGCCTACCCCTTGTTTCTTCTGTCTTGAGAAGTCGCACGATCATGTTTCTTATTACGAAGTTTCTTATGTTGCGCCCGAGGTTGAGCTGTGTTTGCAGGCATTTTTTCTTGTTTTCTGTTAGAGTTTGAGCCTTTTTTTCTGAACAGAATTTTCTTTTTAATAGTTTTTTCTTAAGAGAAGTGGCCCGATAGGGCGATAGGGACGCTTTTTGTTTTAAAAAAAAAAGCTGTTTAGAGGGGGGGAGGTGTACTCATAGTCGTGCATGCCGTGTCGTTAGACCATTGACCTCGAATCCCTACAAAGCCGGGACGGAGCACGCCGGGTTCTCACCGGACCAGGCTCTCACATCACCAAGCGCGAAGCGCCGTGAGATACTCGGCGAGCCGCATGAAGGGTGCGCTGCATCCTGCTACGGGTGTTCGGCATCCTGTGCTTATTCCTTGCGTACGGATGACAGCTTCGTGTGGCTTAATTTGTTTTCTGGTGCTTTCACTTCCAGAGACAGTTGTAAGCACTGTGTAA